TTCAGTATTGAGTGCGTGTAGGTGGCACCTGTTGACGACCATCTGTATTTTGTTGTAAATGCTTTTAGTGACGCACCAAGTTTCTGAACTATAGAGAAGCACTGACTTGACGTTGGTGTTGAAAATTTGGATCTTTTTACTTACGCCGAGTGGAGTGGAGTGCGGTAGATCTCTAAACTGACTTCAGGTTAGTAAAGACCTGTCTCGTTGTCTTTCCGATCCTATCTTTGACTTCTCACCTCTGCCATCACTACCGCCTGTAGTTGAAGCGATGCTGCCTAGGTGGTAGGTGAAAGAGAGTACTTCTTTTACAGTTCTCCCGTTGATCATTATCATCATCATTGTCAACATAGGACTAGGCATTACTGCGTAACGGTCCGAGTTGCCACACCTCACGTCAGTTCATCAAGTAGAAAGGTAGTGAGGCGAAAGAATGAGATACAAGAATGCAGTCAAAAGAAATATAAAGTACGAGTTGAAAGGAAAGAGGAGTGACAAAATGGTGAGATTCGGTATAGCGTTGTTAAGATGAGGATAATGTGTGTATACATCTGCACCACTGACTTCGGTTCTCAGCCATATCACCTAGGGTCTCCAACCACTGGTTCCTCTTGTCCCGTGGACCCCAACCACCTAGTAGCCTGCATCGTCCTACATGGCTTAAACCAACAGTCAGAGACTTCATACATTAGTGCCATGTTTTAGTCTGGCTACCTCGGGCCTTTTTCCAGCCTGGACCCACCTCAGCCAACATTGTGTGACAAGGCAATCGGTGACTAGGCATACGTAGTACGTGTCCCAACCATCTCAATCGATGAAGGTTCACAACCTCGTCTACTGATTTACCTCTTCTCTCTAAAACTACACATAGCTTCTGAATAACTCACATGTTGACATCACGGAATACGTCCTATACTACGAAGGCAACGATGGTCAAACACCTTGAGCCTTTTTGTATCCTCCACTTTTCAATGGCCATGTTTCACAGGGATACAGTAGGACAGAGCGGACTGCTGTGCAGTACACGCGACCCTTAATAGACAACCGGATATCACGACGGCGCCATAGGTGGCGCAAATTGACAAAAGCCAATCGAGCCTTTTGTATCCGTGCAGAGATCTCATAAGCAACTAACCCACCAGGGTTGATCCTACTTCCCAGGTAAGTGAAGTGGTCAACACACTCAACCACTCACTCTCTATTGTGAGCCGCGGTACCGCTGAAGACCAATCCTGGAGCAAAAATTTGCATTTGGGTGGTGAAATCGCATCCCAAACATTCTCAAATTCCCACTCAAAGTATTCAGAAGACTCTGCATCTTGTCAGCGTCTTCACCTAACAGGACTATGTCATCTGCATATTCTAGATCTAAAGAAAATTCACCTGTGATTGGGTCAACTTCTGTGTAATTAGGTGATGAGAGGGAAACCTCCATAAGAATATCTATGATAAAATTAAGTAAGAATGGGGACAGACTTTGGTGCTTGTTGTTGTTGGTTGGTTATGATCATCACCTCTGTCTACTCTACATTCACCTGAACGAAGTCCCGTCTTCGCTTTCTGCCTCTTCTATCAACTTGTTGGTTTTTGCCTGCAGATAATCGAGTTTGGGCGATATTAGACACAAATCATCATTATCGACGAAATCCAAATATTCTAAGGTGTATTCATCAGTCCAGCAATCGTATGCCCGTCTTCTCACTCCTCGTGGTTTGCTGCATGATTCAGTCCACCATAGTCAGGAATATCATAGGTGATAGTAGGCAGCCTCATCTTAATCCTTTCCCCTGTCTTCACTTCAAAGGCGTCACCAGGCTTTCCATTGTGAATCACTTCTCATATGGCGTCTTCATATAGCTGTTGAATTAGATTGATGAAGGTTAGTGATACTAAAAGCGTAGTGTTGAAGCAGCTGCCTGCCAAATCACTTCTCGGTCGACGCTGTCGAAGGCCTCTTCAAAGTCGATGAAGTTGAGGCTGAGTGGAGTTGACTGCCATTCTGCACTGTGTTCTATGATGATGCGTAGTGTAGCGTTACAGTTTGATCCGCACATGATTTGTTTTTCCTGAATCCAGCCAGACAGCCAGCTAGCCTATTCTGGTCGTAATTTTGAATGCAGAGCATCTTTCAGTTTCTCCAGGATGATGCGGCATAATGTTTTGCTTGGGAGGGTGGGGACAGCATCATGATTCCTCACCAGTTCTTGTAAGCACTAAGGTCTCGTTTCTTTTGGGAGTTTGAACATGTAGCCCTTCTTCCAATCAATCCACAGGTGCCTTTCCTTCCTTCCTTGCAAACCTTCTGCAGTAGTGGTGTGAGCATGTCCGCTGTTGTCTGTGCCTCTGTTTTCAGTGCTTCTGGAGGAATTTTATCTGGTCCTGCTGCCTTCCCGAATTTCAGCAACTTTATGGCGTTCAGGACTTCACTCCTGCTTTTGTCAGAGGGTTTGTTTTCATTAGCAGTTCTGTGGCTGGGCTGCTGGTGGTATTTCTGTCCGAGTTGCAGGTGGTGGTGGTAGTCGATTGAAGAGTTTTTTGAAGTGGTCAGCCCATTGTCTACGTTGTTTCTTCTCTTTGGTGTCAACTAGCTTTCCTTCACTATCTCTCATCGGTTTCATCTACATTGATCTCTTCCCAGACAGTGAGTAACCTGGTTATTTGATATGGTGTTGTCAGGTCTCTGTCTCTCCTACCAGCAGCCTGTTCTGCTTCACTTGCAACTGTGTTGTAGAAGTGTCTTTTGCCTATCCATGCACTCTTCTTCACTTCTTTGTCCAGTGTAGAGTTTTATAGGTTGTATTCAATTCCTCTTTTGGTTGTTCATCCCTGCACTTCACTGCACTGCACTGCACTGCACTGCACTGTACTGCACTGGTTCATCTTCTGCTTCACCATCTTCCTCTCCATTCTCTATCAGCTTCCATGTGTTTATCGAGATCCACTCCTTGTCTGGTTTCTTCTTCCTTCCTAACACAACAACGCAGGTTTCCTTCTACGATTCTCTCAACGAGTTCCAGTGTTCTTGCATACAGGTTCGTTCGGAGATGTTGCCTAATGTCTCCCATTTTCTCCTGATGACTGACTGACTGACGTGAAGATGTCTTTTGTAATTTCGTCCTTCAGTTCAGTTTCTGTTCTGGGTGTTGAACTTGGTCTGTGGGCATCTATCACCAACTTCCTTGAATCGAGGGCTTTCAACTTGATTTTGAAGGTGGGTTGCTCGCACTAGATAGTGAGTGGTGTGAACCACCTTCGTCTGCTACCCTTCTTGATGTGATCTCGTTTCCAGTAAGCTGCGTCTCCACTTTTTGGAGATTGAGATGAAGTGGACCTGATGTTTAGTGTAGTGTGTTGTGGTGTCTGGTGAAATCAAATGGATGTCACTGCCTTGTGAATATCCTTGTGTTTGTACACACTGCTTCACCTCCAATCCCCAAATCGTTGAGTGCACAGATGTCTGCGAACAGTACTCCATTCTCATTCTCCATTTCACTGAGTGCTTCTCGAACCATGATCACTTCTCTTCCTGTGTTGTCTACTCCGAGTTTGGCATTCATGTCATCTTACCCATTATAATGAATTTTGATGTGGCCAACTGGGGTGGAGTCTTGACGAGTACTGATTGCAGTTGTGTATAGAATTCCTCCTTCTTCTCTTCATCTGCATCATTTATAAGTGCGTGGCGTAGCGTAGTGTAGTGTAGTGTTGTACGATTGTGACTTTGCTTCCTTTTGATTTGAAGCTAGCTGTCATGATCCTGATTGTGGAGGAGGAGATTGGTTGCCACTGCATGAGAGAGAGAGAGAGAGCCTTCGATGCTGTTGGTGACATCATGATAGCCACTCGAAAACTCAGTGTGCTGGTGGTTGTCGTCTGTGTGACAAAATCGGAGTAGATTATTGACTCTGAAGTTGACAGTTTAGAGAGTCTACTTCTATTCTGTCTAGTCTCGCATATTCCTAGCACTTCCATGCCATCCATACCTTTTCATCTCTTTTGCAATCTGGACAGCCTTGGGAGGAATAATTTTATTTTTAATTTACATATCTCTTATGTGGTTAGAAGTTTTTTTAGCGATTGAATTGGTTTTCGGTGATAGGGTTGCTATCCGTATACCCAAACGTTCCCTGTTTATCTGGGTTTCGGACAGTCTAGTAACAGTGAAGTAGTTAACTGGGCGAGTTTGATGGACTTTGTTGAAATCCAAAATTCTGTTTGATTCCCTTTCATATCTATCGCTTTTCCTTTCTTGTTTTCGGTATCCTCTCCAGATTCCTAGAACTATCCAACGTCATGGATCATTAGCTTTTATTTTAGTTATGCGTGCATAAACAGTTATTATAAGCAGTAGCATGCACAGAGATGACCCCAAAGTCATTGATATCTAGTTTAACCACCTAAGCAGAAATGGTATTCAATGAACGACCTGGGTTACCACCCGGTTATGTCAGCTGTATCTCGCACTCATTTCTTCACTGAAACTCATACCTCCTCCCACTTCTAAAAAAAGTAGATCAGATCTGTTCCTGATTTCTTGTTACCTTGAGGGTAACTCAGGACTCATTGTTGCCTCGCTTACATCATGCAACAGATGAAAATGTTCCCTGGGCTTTTTGACTTACAAATACGCAAAAGATTATGTGTGTGATCGTTTAATGCGGTTCGATTTTGACCCTTTTTTTAAATATATAGGAAATAAAACTAATAGAATTGTTATGAATTATTTTCGACATTTTAAATACTTGATATTTCTTTAGATACAAATGATGCAAATAGTTGGTTAATGAAACCCTTTCTAGAACCTTATTCTCAGCTGTCCTTTAATATTGAATTTTTTGAGTTGTTTTTGTTGCCTGAATTTGATCGATGCTGAAATAGGTGTCTCAACAGTTTGGCTTAATTTTAGCAATTGTTTGCTGTTAATTCCTATTACAGCTAGATCAAATTAATTAATTATTATGTTTACTTGGAATTATGCTTTAATTTAAATTACTTTTTAGGTGAACCAGCACATAATCCCATTTATTTAGATTCTGAGTCAGAAGAAGAACCAATCACAGACACAAAAGTTATGAAAACAGCGAAAACTGTTGAGAAGTCAAGTAAAGTTGAATCAAAAGTATGCAAGAAGCAGGTGGAGGAATGGATGGAGAAAAATCAAGCAGTGTATACCAAGGAAAAGGTAGCCAAAGATACAGATATTCAAGTATTACAGAAGGAAGATAACGATCCTGTAGAAATAAACAATGAAGTTGGTTTACATCCACTAAAGAATGTTGGTATGACGTCAGTTTTACCGACAGACCATTCTCAAACTAATCTAAGTCAGCGTTCTCTTAGATCTCATTCCCCATCACTACCTCTTTCATGTCATTCAATTGAACCTGGAAGTACAGATGTTTCTCTTAGTTCTAACCTATCAACCTCTGCAAGTTCATATTCAATGCTTTCTGGTTGTGAATACACTCCAAGTGGTGGATGCTCGTGTGAACGTGTTCATAAACATGGTTGTGATAATTATTCTTTGTCATCTTATTCTTCTACATCTTGTGAATATCCTTACCATACCCATCGATTTCATCACAGCCGACCTAGTTCCTTTTATAAACATCATGAGTACTATCGATATCAACCTTGTTATTGTCATCGATGTACATCAAGATCAAGACGTGGTCATTATAAACGCCATGCATCTGAACATCACGGTCATAAACATGTTACTAACAAACACCCAGAACGTCATCATTCTCATCACTCAGAACACCACCGTTATCACAGTCATAGTCGTCATTCATCCGGTAACACTCATCGCATTATCATATTGCTCATCATCAGAACCATCCTCATCATCATAAGTCTGATAAACTTCATAAAGATTATCATTCAGACGAATTCAGTGAAGATAAAAATGTGTCGACAAGTTCAAGTAGTAGATCAATGGAGAAAATTTCACTGGAAGAGAGTGTTCTGTTAAAATCTAATCTCAATTACTCATCATCATTGATATCAGATGAGAAGCTCTCAGAGGTTAAAAATTCACAAAAGGAACTATTGTCTAGCCTTAAATCACAAGAACGTAGATTAAAACAAGAACTAGCTAAACATCGTGCATTAACCGAGAAATTGGAAAGAATTAAGCGTTATAATGAAAAGCTTTTAAATATGGACAAAGTTAGTTTATCGAATCCAATTCTAATTGCTACTAAGTCAAGTGAATATCACACAGTTTTTGAAGGTGATGATACAACAAAGAACACTGGGGACGACAATGCGATACATTTAGAACCACTAGGTGCAAATCTTAATGATAAGATACCCCAGTCGAATGAGGAGAAACTGAAGGAAGATAAACAGGATGGTAAGAAGATACCACATCGTCAACGCCACCATGGAACACTTTCTAGGTCGTCATCGCATAAAAAGTCAAGGTCTCGATCTGGCCATAGTAGCAGTACTAGTAGACGTCGATTGCAAACAAAGACAAAGCATAGTCAAGAACAGAAAAGCGCGGATAAAGAAGACATACGATATCTTCAACCAAAACTGGATGGGACGAACAAACAAAATCAAAGTAAAGAGTAAGTATATCTCTCCTTAGTTACAACCATCCTATATATAAACGTAGAGCAACCTTATATGTTATATGTTATAAAGTAATCAGAAAAATGTCACTCTCTTTTAACAGTTTGATGGAAAAGAATGGTTATACCTAATGATGTAGAATGGATGAAGTCTATTCGGCAGAACATGGAGAGTATTTGTAGCTCGGGAAAGTAATATTTTTGGTATTGTGTTTTCTGATCTAAGTGGTTCGATCGTGAAGTTTTCATTGTCATTCTAGAAAATATCAGCAAAAACTCTAGAAAGAAGTGAGCTATGGGATTTTCTCCACAAGTGGTTTAGTAGCTGGTATTGATGACGTTGAAAGTGATTGGTTGTAACTGCTAAAATCTTGTCATTGTCTCATTGTCATTACGCTGAGTGGTCGTTTAGCTGACTTGAACTTTAACCTTGTTTTTGTTATCGTGTTTCTTATCGATTGATAGGTTGGGTCAATCTCGATATGTCTGTTGATTGTTGACTGACCTGAATACCAAACTTCTAGAAGTTCTCTGGCATCCTTTGTTTTTCCTCCATCTAGAATTTCTACATTTCCACAGTTGAATTTGTGTTCCCAGTTGTCAGTATGTATTAATATGAGCAAAAACACGCCGTGACACTTCACTGCTAGTTGATGTTCATGCAGATGGATACTAAAAGGGCTACTACTCTCTCTGATACATTGTTTTTCTTAGTTTATGCAGTTCATTTTGCAGATAACTTTTGGCTTGCCTTCCTTTGTTAGTGAATCTTTCGACCTGCATAACAGCTTGGTATTGAGGTCAGTCAGCAATCAATATATATATATATATATATATATATATATATATATATATATATATATATATTGACAGTGACTCGATCTATCAACTAATTCGAAGCACAAAAACAAAAAGGATGTCAAAAGTTGGCAGGGCAACCAGTCGAAATACTGATCGACACATTGAAGAGATTTTAGCGGAAACAACCAGCCATACTCAAGATCATCGGGACAACCTACTAAACCACTTGTGGAGAAAATCCCATAGCTCACTTCTTTCTAGAGTTTGTGCTGATAATGTTGTCTAAAATGAGAATGCAAGGCTTATGATTAAACCATCCGGCTCAACGAACACATTACCATCAAAATATTATCTATAAAATTTAAAGCTCAATGGAAAGTGACAAAAATATGTTAAACGGTTTTTCATCCGCAAACAACCGATCCGTTCAACAATTTGGAAACCTAAATCTAACTTATTTCCACAAAGAAAATTACGTTAATTGTTTCTTTTTTTGTAAACTGTTACTCTGGGAAACCTCTAAATGTATAGTACCACGTGGATCAAGTAAAGGGAAAAAAGTTGTCAGTGCGAAATGATTTTCAACTTTTGTGTTCTACTTGCGACTCATTATGCTAATCACGCAGTCAAGTAGACATTGTGTAATGCTTAAGTATTATTCTACCACACAGTTGTGGGAAAGGATTTAAATAATGATGCTACCAGCATTAACCCTCAGAGGTATATCGTCATAACTGTTTACCATAATACATTTCTGTATCAACTGTGGACTATCCAAGCAAAACTAGATTGTTATGTCATCCCAGTAATACGTCACTTCTCAAGTTCTTTTACTTTTATTTCGTTTTCTCGGGTAAGTATAATTGAGGTTATGATAATTATGTAAAAAACCTGATAGGAAAGCGCGATTTTTGGTTAAAAACTGGACTGACCCTGTTTTATTCATCGTCATAAGTAACGTTTCACTTTATAATGAAAATAAAGACTTAGAATAATCAGTGTAAGAACCTGGTGATCGATTTCACTTTAAAAGGCAGTCAGCGGTAACAAAACAGCGGCACTGGGTTCATGCTTCAGTGTATTCTGAGTGCAACTACAAAGTTGGTACACCTGTGGTGATGTTTCCTGCTTCCGTTTGTTAAACTCCGCGTAATTTATTTTTTAGTTGTAAATCTGTTGAAAGACCACAACAAAACGCCACATCAGTACTCACTGATGAGTCCTCATACTTTGAAATGGAAGGCATTACTGGATTGGCATATGCTATTTTTCATAAATATCACCTAGTATGTAGTAGTAGCTTCGAGGGAAGACTATTGTTGCTACATCTATTCCGGATATGAAGGAAAATCCTAGTGCCTATAAAACCAATCGATAACCGTTCATAGTACAATGAGAATCAGATGTTGAAAGTAATACTGAATCATTGTGTGATTTATCAAATAGACAAACCTAATAGAGAATTGCATTCTATTACAGAACTTGAGGTCCATAGAAATGCAGCTTCTGAAAATAACCAATCAAAGTTTATATCCTTATCTTTGAAAAAAAACACGCATCAGGTGAAATGTGATAGAAACTCACAGTAACCTTTTTTTGTTTGGCATCGTTTGCCATTGCAAACAATTATGGGTAACACTGTCCTAATCGTCTTAACCACTCAAACTGATCACCTTATTCCGAAGGCGAGACAATGTACACTGTATTATGTTTTTAATATAAATAACATATAAGCTATAAATTTCTATCAGTTGCTTTGACTATGTGGCTGCACATTCCTACCATTTACGCATGTCATGATATCAGTCTAATTAACTTCTTTCTACTTACTGAACTTTATTCCACCTTCAGAACTGCAGAATCAGTACCTGATGGAGAGTTTACCGAAGCAAACGTATCTCACAAAACACAGGGAAAGAAAGACGTATTGGATTCAGAAAAGCAAAAGCATAACTCAAAACGCGGAACACGATATGGACATTATCATGAACATCATCGAAACAGACAACACAGTAATCATCGTCATTCAAATGAAACTAGAACCATTGTTAATAACTCTAGTAAACAACGTGAAGACAATCAGAAATCAAGTCAGTCAGATGGTGAAAAATCCAAGAATTTTCCTAAAACGGAACAAGAAAATACAGGTGTCGATGCTCAGTTTATATGTCGTTGGCTTTTGTGAGAATCAAACTAAGTTATGAGGCTATCTGACATAAGAAGTTTTAAAAAATCCCAAGTTAGACTACATTTGCACTAACTGTTCTTCTCTTTCGAATAAGCTTATATGTAAACCACTACGTACAGCTTACAGTTACCGATGGCGTTCAGCATATTTCTCCGGTTTATAAACGAAGCTGAAAGAAAGTTTGATTAGTGATATGACTAAAATTAACGGTCACAGAGTTACTGGACACAAAATCGCCCATTCTTATTTTTTTAACTAATCAGTAAAATTAGTTTTTCTGATAACGCGTCTAAAGTTGTGGTTCACTTGTTCAGGTAATTAACTTTCAACCATTGGGTAACAACTTCAAAGCCGACTACTCCTATTGAGATTTTGACGGTCAAGTAGTAACCCTCACACAATATGTGTGCTTCCACTGCCTAATGAACGAATTTGCACGTCTTTGCTGAGTGCGTTTGATTTCAATTCCAGCCTAAAGCTAACTCTGAAAATAACAATGAATGACTGTTTTATCTACTAACAACAAAATATTCTTATCATTTTGTTAGAATTAATATCCTGAAAATATATTAAAGTTCATCTTTAGTTCTGTACTTAGACAACTAGTTTTATATTACCTTCAAAGAGTATATTATTAACATACATGTGTTATGATGCTGATATTGACCAAAATACTGACACCGAAATATGCTTTTTAAATGTATGCGAATTGCCCTCAGGTATACATTTTAACTCATAGTGGCAAAGAAGTCATTTTGCTTAGATGAACTTGGAACAAGTGAAAACAACTAAGTCCTCGAGAAATTTTCAAATAAATCCATTTGTAGATAAATTTTGGTTTAGTAGCAAAATATTTTCTGTTGCAAATAACTAGAAAAGGTTATTTTTTTACTTATTTATTATTAAGCAACTGCTTAGTTTTTATTTTCACCGACAGATATGAACAGAACAACTTAGAAGCCTGCACGGAAATGTTTCATTTCGACTTGCTACACTTCTCAACACCTTTGAAAGTGACACCCCAGAGAAATGAAATGGTAATAAACTAAAGTAAGGGTAAAGAAGGGAAGAAAGGATAAGTAAATGAAAGTTGGAATAAACATAAATGGTAATAGAAATTATAACAACGGTTTTCATGCTATCGTGCAACAATTATACAGAAGAAACTACTCAATCCAATTATATAAACCAAGTAACAATTTTTACTTCATTGATCAGGCCTCCTTTTTGCTGCTTTTATAAATAAGATGTGAAATTATTCCTAGTGTGTAAGTTTGAGTAAAACTTTTATAACCAAGTGAAATTACTTCATCATTCCTTGAGTATTAGGAAAGTGGGGTAAATGTAAATTTAGAAAAAGACTGATTGAACGAAGAAATATATTCCTTTTCAATTAGGTCTTCATCTTGAGCTCTACACTAATATATAGGTCTACAATTTAATCAAATTACCAATCACGTGGTGATGTTTCAGAAATAATGATGTAAATAATTAATAGAGTTACTAAAATATGAAATATGAATATTGATAGAAACAAGAAGGGGAAGAGGTGTACAAAGTAAACCTAGAAGTTACATCATGTTGACGGCCACGGTAATGAAAGTGGTGGAAATTGTTCACCACATCTACACTGGAATTATAAACAACTATATAATCGTTATTACCTTCTTATGAAGCCAATTTTCATTATAAATTTTATGTTGATAGCATATGCCATGCAATAAATTCTCAAGAACTTCCTAACTAATATTCAGTATACTAATTATTTCTCCTGAATAATTTTAGAAGACAACTTGTTTATCATTACCAATAAGGGTGCATTCACTTATCAAGATGATGAACAATCTCCATCGCATAAACAAACAGATATTGCTAGTCTACCAATAATCCCAACTACCTCTTCAGCTCCAACTGCCGAAAGTGAGTCACAAAACTACCCACTCACGCATGCGCCCTATTCGCACACACCAGAAACAAATATAATCAAGTGTGATTTAGAAGTAATAAATGAAAAACAGGATGATGAACAAAATTGCCTTTCTGAAGACACATCGAAAGAAGAGCAAAAACAATCTACTGAAAGGAAACAGGTGGGTACAGAGCAAATTTCATCTACTAAGAACATAGTAAAATTAGAATATTTTTCAGTTTTACACTGAAGGTTGAAAGACTGAACATCTCTTGGTACGAAAGTCGGTTATCTCTCCCTGATTACTAATTGCACATATCCAGAAGTAAAAATGGTATTTTATGTGAAAATTAAAGGGTGAATTCTACAATTATGTGGCTTCGAACAAAATGTAATTCACTTTAGGGAGTGACAACAAAGACTATATTCTTAGATAAGTTATATTTTCTTGAAATATATACAAATTAAACTTTTAAGAGTTAAACTATGAAAAACAATCCAATCATACCTGTATTATTGGTATTTCTTTTGTATAGATCTAACTAAGTTAATGGGTTTCTTAGAGAATTGCTTGCCACAGATAACAATATCCTATGAACAAACCCTGACCAAAAATGGGCTGGATGCTTTGGTAAAACTTGGGGACCGAGTTAGTATGATTCATCGTATATGGTGTATTTCACTTGTGGTATCCAAGCAAAGTATATTGAAGAATATTACAAAAAATATTTGTTTATTTTGTTATTTGTTCTAATATACTTCGTCGGGATAACACAAGTAAAATATACCTTATACGATGAAATATCTTATGAACTATAGACCGAGTAAACTGGAACAGAGTAGTAAGCTGTCAGTACGCAATTACGGCATTGCCTTACAAACATCCACACGTTATGATGAGCGAAAATAAAAGTGTTGCTTCTTCCAGAAAGTGTTTCAATGTTAAGATTGTTTTTCATATACTTTCCTATCTTCTAAAGTCGGTGGTGGCACAACAGTCTTGTCAAAGTATGAATTAGTTACCTCATTTTGCGTAGTAAGTAAGTAGTGAGTCAATTAACGTCATACTGATTACCTTGTGTGCTTTTTGACACTTGGAGAAAATTAAACTACCTGGTTAGGTCATGAAGTCGACTATAATTAATATCCAATGGATGTGTTTTGGTGGCCTGGATAGTGAAGCTTTCATTGTCATTCTAGACGACATCATCAGAAAAAACTTAATACAGAAACCAAGTGTTTGTGTTGATTATGTTGTCTAGGATTACGGTGAAAGATTCGCCACTAAACCATCCAGGTCAGAAAATGCTTCATCATTAAAATCATCTTCCTGAACTACAAATATTTTCCATCAATTCAATTCAGGTTTTCAACACAGTCATTGTCAACACTATCTGAGGCTGAACTCACTTAACCGTAAGTTCCCGGCTTATTGTTTAGAACTATCTGAACCTATATCGTTTGAGTGCCTGTACCCACTATGTTATCTTCAAGAAGATCTCACACAGTTGATCATCTATTCAACAAACTTAGAATGTCTGCATATCTGTGCCGTACGTGTAAACAAACATCAGCGCAGAAAGTTACACTGGGTTTTCATCGTTTCATGTCACCACACCTTGCAACAGTACAGGAGAAGAGCAATGATATTAGAGAGGAAACTAAACAAAATAAGAAGGAGGTTTTGAGTACAGATGGAAATAGTCCAAATAAGGAGAAACTTCTCAACATTTTAAAATACTTCATGTTATTTTACGTTATCTAGTGTCATATACTACATGAATTATTTCGGCCAACTTTGCAATATAACTACCAGGCTAAGTGGCCTAGCATTATGATGTACCATAAGAAGTCAGTCAGAACCATCATATCACATCCCTAATGATTCTCAATACAGTCCTGAGTGACAGGGTTTCATATTTTCCAGAGACGACTAGTCTTCTTAAGCTACAGATGCACGTTGCTTGTGAATAACAAGAAGTATAAAACTTAAAAAGTATCTTGACATGCCGTCCACGCACCTAACATACGGTTGGTTTAAAATGGAATGTTTCCTCTAGAATGGAATTGTATTAAAATACAGCTACATGCTGCAAAAACACACCAGGCTAAATAGATTCGAAACACAAACAGAAAATTAGATAGGTTCAGAGGACTAAATCAAGCCCGGAGTAATAAGTCCACACACACAACAAAAAATCGTATATTATTAACATACTCATTTTAAAACTAATATATTTTACATACTTCAAGCAAATCTGTTGGTTTCACCATTGACTATGTGTCCAATCATCCAGTTAATATATGAGCAGTTCACTAAATGATAAAAAACTAGCCAAATTTGAATGCGTTTCTCACACGATTGCCATTTACTCTAACAACAGAAAGTATATGCGGATCACTGCTATTCATTCTGAACCATACTGCCAGTGGTTTCTCGCCTTTGAATAATTCCATCTGGATGTATTCAAGGTAAGGTAAAAGTCATCAATAATTTCATAAAATACCAACGTTTGGTGGAAGTTATCGCAATTCCTCTAGTATTAAGCTTTGAGAAGGTGTTATTTGGTTACTTGGATTGCCAAACATGTGTTCCGGTCACCAATCAAACTGTTTTTTTTACTTTATTCTGCAGTTTAGGCATATTGCTAGACATGTCACATAGTAGAGGAGTATTATGTACTGGGCAATGTTTTAGCCAAAAGTTATTGTCAAAATTCATATCAACGTAATTTAGGAATCCTGAGACAGGGTTTATGCAGTTTCAATTCACTCTCTTTCTTTAAGCAATGGTTAGTAGAATTTTCCGTGCATCTGGAACAAGTGCTGAGTCATTCCTGCCGTATGTATTGATCGATAGGCGGATAATTCAATATCTTTCTCTTCATTCAACTAATTTAGCTTTAAGGATTCTCATTCCGTCCATCTCATTGTCTGACTATGTGTGTAGCCGCATGCATATCTACAAGCAAACCCACGTTTCACCCTACTTTCCAAGCATAGCCACATTCTTCAAGGTGTGATTTCACTAGATGTGGGTAATATTTGTAAACCCACTTTACCGAATACATATAAACTTCTCAAATCCTATAACTTAAGCATCACTCAAAGAATATCTATGTCATCATTGCCACCGATGTAGCAGATTGGTTAATTTCAACCAGGAGTTCACGATTCCTGCAAACATTTAATTTTAATCATTATAACTAATCCATTTGGGTTAACGCAGCTTCCTGGAAAAATGAAACTTTTCTTACCTTTAACTCATTAACTTCCTGCTTTCACGCCATGCACTGACACAAACGTGTCCTGGATAAACATTTCATGTCTGACAGGTATGAAGCGCGTTGTATCCACAGCTTAACTTCACCTTATCAGAGTCTCAAGCTGCTTCACCTATGGGTAGTGAAATGTTTTGACCGACTAATCAATTTGTGACAACTTTTCTATCACGCTGGGTTAAGTACGCTAACTGATGAGTGGATGATAACGAATATTATCTAACTCTTAGTGCTAACCGAATTATATGAACTCAATTTGTAATGCTTCCATTGTGCTAACCCAGTTGCTCAAGATGGTGGCAAATTGTTTAATTATCGAAGAATAGACACTAAATTCGCATACTGTATTGAAGAAAATTCCCTGTTTACTTGACAACTGTTTCTCTTTATCCTTTATACGTGTTACACAAAACTGGCATATGATATTAAGTTATTTGGTTTTGAATCAGAGGATGGGAATTTCAAGTCCTGTTTCTAGTGAAGTCATTTTATTATTAAACACTATTATTTATCCTGATACCGTTATCATTATACCCATTGATAAAAAATTTAATTGTTCAAAGTTGTTACATATATGCCATGACTACTAAATGATATTCCATATTTCTCTCAGAGCTCTAGTCATTATGAAAACATTTGCCTTGATACGATTGCTACAAAGCAAACGGAAAAAATTGAGCCAACTCAGCCTTCAAATGAACAGTTAGTTGAAGCACTACCGATCTCACCGACCTGTCCACCCCCCATTCCCTATACAATTCTACCAGTCAGTAAGCATAATGATGAACCAGGTGATATGATGATCAAAGAAGCAATGGATTTACTGGATGAAGTGAGTTTAAAGTGATTATTATATAAAAACTTATTTAAAAACTCCGTATGCTGCATTGAATTTTCTCATTGTCACTACTGGATAGTTATCAAGATACTCATTTTTCATAGCATAATGGTTTATTTGGAAAAAATTTAAGTCTTGAATGCGAAACTGAATAACATTAACTTCAAAATGTCATTATGATTTTGATAGATAATTTCATATTGAATAAGTTTATTTGATATGACACAGTTGATACAGGTGGTCCCCTAAGTGGTTACAGATCTAGGTTGTTTAAGCCCTGTTTAATACCACGTTCAGACCTCTCTTTCTTACGCTTCAGATAAGTCACAGTGATAAAGTATCATTCATTGAAGGGAGAGCTTGACCACTAAAGTTGCGTTTACACAACCAACGCCTAACACGAGCAACGAAAATGGCTCAACACGATTTGCTGATTTACTGGGAATACTACTGTCATTAAAATAATCAATATCAAGTAGAAGCATTGTATAAAATAAAACTAGGAAGTTACTTTTTTCCTCAGCATGATTATGGATAACTAATTGTAGACGAATGTCATTAATTAAATAATACTTTATCACTTTTGTGTTATATCAAGTAAAATGAAATTATACTCCATTTTGAAGCCTAAGTTTCACTGTTACAATAAGTGTATATCTTTAAACATAAGAAGGGTTTGGATGAATGGAACTGCTATGTAGTCAACCACTTACTCACATGGATCGCCCTCCAACTATAACACTGACTAACTTTAAAGGCCATCCTAACCAGTCAGTTTTGGTACTTCGGTGGGAATGTAGTTCTTCATAAAACTAACAAACATAATTAGTTATCTCCATAGTTATTAGGATAACCTTTAAAGTCACCCCGACTTTCTATCTTCGTGCAATCAGATAACAGACTCAAGTTTTTCTTTATCAGAGGTAACATGTACACATTATTGGTACCCTAGGTACAAAATCGCCTATCTGTTTACATTTTGGTGAAGTGTAGTATCTTTTCATAGTAAAAATGGTTTTCCACCTTTCTTTCTAAAGGTATTTTGATAAATCCTTGTCTTATATATTCATAATGAAGATTCAAAGACTATAGGATGATTTTCAAATTAATCATGATTACTATATAGTTATGATCAATGGTCATCGACAAAGCATCTTCTTAGACCGACCACATGATGAAATTCCCAAATTTTAATTCAGATATTCAAGACTGATTAAACACAGACGGCATGAGGGTACCCATGTGGTTGCACCGCAAGATGAGTCCTCATACCGTCCTGGTTTTAAAAAGCCTAGATGTGTGTTCGGCTCTCTCCCGAAAACCAATGTATAGTTATCCGTTTAGATGATGGGTATATCAGAAATAACTTTTCTTTCTTGTGCAATTTTAGATTGCTTGTTTATTGCAGCTGTAACAACAATGACTTGAAAATAGTCAAGTTTAAAGTTGACTGATGACAGGCGTATTAACAGCATAGATTTTGACGAATATTAATTTTTTATTAACATCTGAGAAAATCCCTAAACATTTCATAGGGTAGTAGTTCTAAAATCCAATAATACTGGGTGGAGGCAGAAATTATAGAATCCTTTTTCGTTGAATCACCACTTAAGACATGTAACTGGAATAGTTCATCAAATATTTGCAAACTTCGACCATCAATAAAAGGAAAGGGTTAAGAACTTTTGGACTATGTGAGTGAAGTTCAAAAGTTACGTGGTTACACTAGTTGTTCATTGGAGAACAACCAATTTATTGCTATTTATGCCTGAGTGCTGACTGAATTCTATCAATCATTTCGCAGTGTGGTCGCCAAACCAGGAGGCTCACCATCGTGGTTCACTTCGCTGGACATTAGTCGGTTGCAGGTAGTTTCAGGAAGCTCTAGACCTCGGTTTTCTACCGAGCTATTTGACCGCAACTGAGTTCCTATGGTTACTTTGAAATGGTTATGCATATCAAATTCTACTGGAAATGTCGCCTAATGAATAAATTTAATACTGTATCAAATAAACAATCTAATGTGGAATTGAACTCTGCAACAGTCCTCATCTTTTTTTCCTATATTAAAAAAATATTCAGTTAAACTGACGGAGTACGGTTGATGATGAACAAAAATTTGTTAAGAGAAAAACTGACATTCGATTAAATTTCGTGCTCACTATCAGAAGTATGAGTAAATCAATTTTTTTCAAATACCTACCACGATTCTACTGAAAAAAAATGGATACTTATCCCGAATTTGAATTTACAAATTATTTACTGTAACTGAAACTTGTTCTTAGACTAATAAATACAAATTACGTTTTTCAGCCATTCCAGCACTCATCATAATGGTATATTTTGTGTCTTGAAGGAAGATCCATGCTGTTTTAGCAGTAAGACTGCACATCCATCATCAGGTTAGAGAAGCTACAATTGTGGTATACTGAATGAAATTTGGCTTACTGTGTCGGTAAATCATATACACTGATTGGTCGTTAGACACTACTGAATGCCGAATCGCCTTTTCTTGTTGTTGATTAGAATTTGCGGATTCACTTATGGTCAAATTGCAAAGTTGATCGAATTCAGTAATTACTGAGTGGTAGATAGCATTTCATTAGTTAGTGAGCAGCAGATAATAAATATAGTGATTTGGACACGGTATATAGCTAAATACTGAGTGCAGATGGTCAGTTAATAGATAATACGGGAGACAAAGGTTAGGATTTATTCTTTTTGTGTAATCAGATTCTTTCAACCTCAGAACTAATATACATTAAAAATACAAAACATTGACCTTATTAACTGACCTATGTGGAATGGAGCAAAACAACTATCTGTAAAGTTAGTGCATGCAAAACGATAGCTGTGGTTTTCTTTAAACTAATTATCATAGTAAAGTCTATCCCTCTGTATCTTGCGAAACTATTATGCTCCGCTACCCTAGTAATTCTTGGTCAGCTATTTTGACCTGTGTACTTTACCTCACAGCTACTAAATGATACTTGGTAGATGAAGTTATATTGCCTAATTTGATTTGCTTATTCTTTTAGCCTTCTAAGTTTCTCTGTGAGTTTGTGGTTATAAGTTTCATCCTAGTCCCTATATTGTTAAGAATCTTGCGTATACCTTCGAATATGCCTTGTTTATGTGACTACATTACAGAGGATTTGAATTCACTCTAACATGCTGCAATTACCGTTAGTACTATTGCTCTCTTCCATTAGTTTTTATAAACGTTTTAGTAAACTCTAGAGAGTAGTTAGTAGGCTTCAATACCTCTTCAAAGTATTCGAGCTATTTATTTGGATTTTATGACTTACTAGTCAAACTCCTAGCTCCATTATGTCAACAAACTGCCAGACCTGCCATGACAGACATAGAAGGAGACGATGTAAAACCCATATATTTACCCGAATTTCTTAGTTTTTCTGTGAACACCAGTATCCAAACTGCTGTCATGTATTTAAGGTCATATGTTTCCCAGACAGTTTTACAAAACTTTGAAATCTAATAAGCTACAACCAAACATCTCCAATCTTATGCGTCTTACAAAGTCACATGTCGAAAATGGGCAGGATAAGCTGCATGATATGCTTTTACTCCACATCAATGTATCAAATATTCTATCGGATTTGTCAATAATATGTCGTTTGAAATTCCTACAATTTTGTAGTAATGTCATTCTCAAAACGAAAGCCAATATGCATCAGAAGCTAACCAGTTCACTTGACAGTAAAAATCATATTAACCATTTCCCTGTTAACCCGGATAAGTACGTTACTAACCTTTCTACAGTGACACTGTCCACCTATCAGAAGGAAGCCCTATCCCTTGGACTTAAATTTTGTGTTCCTCGAAAGCAGTCATCAGATTTGGCTACCCATGCACAGTTTGAAAACCTATACAACCAGTTGAAACCTCTCGTCCCAACTTCAATTGAGGACCAGGGATGGCTGAAAGCCAAGATGGTGGATATCGCCCACCAGTTTTGTGATAGCCATCAGAACCAGAAAAGCATTCTAACTTCTGAACATTTCAGAGCTATGAAGGAACTACGAGAGAACCCTGATATTATTATCCTCAGACCTGACAAAGGCTCAGGTGTCGTGATCATGGATAAAATCGAATATAAGTGTAAAATGTCATCGATTCTTGAAGATGAAAATAAATTCACTAAGGATTGTTCTTCAGAAGACGTACAATTGTTACAGGGAACTGTGACCGCTAATCTAGTGAAACTGCTCGAAATGAACGTCATTACCAGTCAAAAATTCGCCCTACTGAAACCAACTGAATCCCGATTCCCACATCTTTACGGTTTGCCCAAAGTACATAAACCCAACAACCCCTTACGTCCCATAATGTCAATGTGTAAGTCGCCAACGCATAAGCTTGCCCAGTGGCTAGTGGAGTTATTGGATCCCATTAAGAAGCAATTTTGTAAGTATTCCTTAAAAGATACATTTGAAGTAATCAAATGCCTTGAGCATGTCAACATAAAGAGTAAATTTATGTGTTCATTTGATGTTAACTCATTATTTACCAATGTCCCTTTGGTCAAGACAATTGACATTTTATGTGGTTATATTTCTGTGCATAAGTTTCCGATACCCATTACTTTGGATCACCTAAAACAGCTGTTACTTTTATGTACAAACAATATTAAATTCACCTTTGAGGGCGAACATTTCCGCCAGGTTGATGGTGTCGCTATGGGAAGTCCTTTAGGTCCCCTCCTAGCCGACATATTTATGTCACACGTTGAGAACTTAGCCGAGAACTTAATAGACCAAGCCCATCTGTATCGAAGATATGTTGACGATATCCTGATTATTTGTGAAAACTCAAATCAGGCTACTTCAATTCTAAACCGACTGAACGAAGTACAGAACAGCATATCTTTGACATGTGTAAGAGAGGAAGATGACTGCTTGCCGTTCCTAGATATATTAATTAGTCGAAGGCAGGATGGATCCATAAAACGATCTATCTACAGAAAACCTACA